AATTTATTTTAGTACATTAACACAACTTGGGAATCTTGCCTTACGTAATAATTGTAGAATGACTAACTAAGAAAGTGCCATGTACATGATAATGTGGGACCCTTCTAAAAAGGTTAAGGACAGGATGGAGGGGGGCAGAGTGAGCTAGTCACAGAGTTCAAAGCATGTTCTTTTGATGAGATCCTACTTTCAGCTGAGAAAATTAGCTTTATTTCACTTGTTTTTTCACTAAAGCATGTTTATTACTACATCCTGCACTTCGTACAATAAGAGGAAGAGGGGAGTTCTGTGCATGTTTTTCAGGGAGTGTTTGCCAGTGGGACCCTGCAAAATGGTTCTGTAAAGGGCCTTGTGACTTCTGATGGCAGCCCTGTGGACATGCTTAATATTTACTATAGAATATGAGCCAGTTGACAAAGTTGTAGCTACAATGAGCCAACATTGCATGCAGTGGAGCGCTAAAAAAATATAAAAACAACACACTTACCATTATATAATAAGGGGTACCATATACAATGAGAGCTATGATATAAAATAAAGCACTATATGGTGCAATAAAGTCTAAATCATGATTGTGGCAAAGTGATTTATTTTATTTCACTCACAAGAAGAGACAATGGGATAGGCTCAAATCACTCTGACAGATGTGTTCTATGGTGACACTGTCCCTCTTCTGTCTTTTGTTGAATATACTCAAATGTAAGAAAATAAAACAGATGGAAGCAGCAAGCACTGTTGAAGTATGTCAAGAAATATAAAGTGACTCAGTGCATAACATGTGAATAAACTGCTCACCTTCTTTAGGAGCCTCAAAACTTGGCTCCAGGTAAAATAGCTTTGGTTTCACTTAAGGGGGACACTGCTGCCCTTTCCTTGGAGTTGAAGTAGATGCTGAAGATCGCCCCAGACAATATTTTGCAAAAAAATAAGTCGATTTTTACTATTTTAATTGGAGCCAGGTTTTGAGGGTCCTAAAGAAGGTGAGCAGTTTATTCACGTTATGCACTTGATATTCCTTTTTACAATGAGCCAACATGTTCGGCAGCATTGTATAATTGCCAAACACAACATACGAGTAACTGGTGAAAGTACAAGGTACACTGGGAAAAAATAATGACTAGCAATTTGCATGTTCAGGTCTAAGTATAGTTGGGAGATGGTAACAAAAGGTTAAAGTACAGTGTTCTCTTAAAAGAACTTAACCCGTTATGGATCAAACATCTGGAATAAAAGGGAATCATGACATGTCACACATGTCATGTGTCCTTAAGGGGTTAAAAGGACACTCCGGCACCAACACAACTTGAATGAATTTGATAGAATTTGGCGTCATTATTATGCTGTATTTCGTGCTAGCTTAAATCTTTATCAAAAATAAATGTTTTGCAGAATGATGCATTAGAAGCAGGCCTCCATATCCACACACCCTGAAAGACTTATTTATCAGAGGTATGCACAGAGCCCAACCCCAACAGCACTTATGCATCGTTTCCACTGAGCAGTATGGTTCGGGTCAGTACAGTTTGGAAGGGTTAGAATGGTCCAGTCAATTCAGGTGAGCATTTCCACTGCAAGTCGGACCGTTAGGGGGCATGCGGGGTTTAGACCAAATGCCTAACGTGTAATTTGTCGTGAGCATTGATCAATGGATTGTATAGTCTGATGCCAGTAGCTCCGCCCTAACCATACCATACCATTTCCTATGGACCTACATCTGAAGGGGCCCCAGGAATGGTGTGGTTTAGTTCAATTGTATGGGCCACTTTCATAATGGAAACACTCAAAATAGCGTAACAGACCATACCGGCCCGAACCGTACCGCTCAGTGGTAACAGGGCACAAGTGAGCTTTTTTAATTCACAACCTGACAGCAGACAGTCAAAGAAACTGCAAACAGGTAGTGATATCCTCACTATATGCCTCCTTGGGTGTCCTTTTCTAATGCTGGTTGCTTTGTAATTTAGATCATTTAATATTGTCAGTGGTTAAGCTGTGCATGCCTTTGATAATGAAGTCTTTTTCTGGGGTGAGAGGGTGTGGATAAAGAGGTAGGCTTTTGGTGCAGCATGCCACAATACATTTATTTATTTAATGCAAAAACTATAGAGATTTAAGCAGGCAAAAACACAGCATATTAATGACACCAAAACCTATCAAATGTAGTATTGGTCCCTATTATGTCACAAAGCCCTCTAAAAAGATATCATCACATCCCATAGCTGTTGCAATCTGAGCCAAATAAAAAGTAACACTATTATTACTTAAATTAAAAGCATATGTTCACAGAAAAATGAGAATCGTTAAACTATAGCAAGTCGTGCACTCCTCATCGTAATGACTTAAACATATTTTTGAAGATAGTTACAAAATGTGCGATGATTAAGCCATTCCCAACCAGTTAGATCAAATGAAGTGGGCTGCATCTATTACTAAAATTTAATGAACACTCTGCGTTGTATCATTTCTTTACAGACAGTGTCATTCTGTTCTGCAAAACACATTAGTATGTATGAAAAACAAATGTGTCTGCCAGAGTCCTTGATCCATTAAATATGCTTTGTTTTAATAAAAATGTATGTTATTCCAAACCAAGGTTCTGTGGATGTACTTTTCACAATTGCCAGACATAATTGTAAAAAGCAGCCAACTGTTGTTTTCTGCATGTAGAATTGTTAAAGAAACACTGTTAGTGGTTTGTATCACCAGTTTAGCTGCTAGCATAGATACAAATGATGACCATTGTTCTCAATTTCACATTTATAAAGGATGTCAGCTACCTTAAAAACCTGCATTTATTTACTGAACACTGATATGCGTTAAAATATATTTGTATTTTTAAAGGGTTACTCCAACCACCATAACCACTTCAGTGATTTAAAGTGGCCATGCTGGTAGAAATCTGAATGGCCAGCATTTCTGTTTAAACTTTTGTGCCGAGAGCTAGTTACAACCTCGTCACCCATGTCAAAGGCAGCCCAGAACAGATTGACAAATGTCAATTTTATGCATAAAGTAGGTCTGTCGTCAGCGTTTTCTCCCCTCCCTCCATCACTGTTTTAAGTTGTTCCCATCTCCCAATGAGCACAATATTACTAGGTTTTTTTTTTGTCTCCCAGGCAGACCCCAGGATCTCAAATGCCGGACCACCGTCAGGGGAATGACGGGGACCCGGTAAGTACAAAGGGCGTTCTATGCCACCCGCCGGTGTTTAGGACCGCCTAAAAAAGGACGGCATAGAATGACAGTCGTCCTTAAGGGGTTAATGGCAGGGTGTGTAACCCAACACGCAGAACTTGAACCAATATCTATCATAGACGAATACTAGATAGAATAGGAAACATATTACCAGTCCTTAGATGTGGCCAGGCTTACTGTACAATAAACAACAGTCAAGGTAGCAGAGGACAATGACAGGAGAAATACACCAAAACGATAAGCAGAGATAGGTCAAAGCAGTACAGAGGCCAGCATGGTCAGGAAAAGCAAGAAATTACTAGATAATAGAACACACAGTGGTGTATTCTGGTTTTGTGCTGCCCTAGGCATGACAAAACACAGGCACCCCCTCCTTCTAAATTTCACTTCCTGTTAAAAACCAACACGCTCTTTGCCTGACAGACATACACTCACTCACAGTTACACACACAGGCACACACACACTAACAGACATGCACACACTCTCACTGACATACAATCTTTGACAGACACACATACACACACACACATACATACTAACACACTCACTAACAGACACAGGCACGCTCACACACACACACACACACACACACTTACACAGACACACACACACACTAAATTTTTATTTTTTTTAAAAAAATTTCAATCCACACAGCCTCCACACAGGCGTGCGGTCAATTTAGGCAGGGAGGGGGCTCTGATCTCCCTGCGCAGCTCCTTTGCGCGTCTCTCAGTGATGCCGGGGCCAGAGTGACGTCATATTCCGGCTCCGTCATCACTGCAGTGCCCCCCCCAGAGGCTGGCATCTACCTGATGTAGAAGGCAGGCGGTGAGGGAGCAATCTCCCCTGAGCTCCCTGCACAGCTCCCTCGCCACCTGCCTCCTACATCAGGTAGATGCCAGCCTCTGGGGGGGGCCTGAGATGGCCAGCTGGCCAGATCTTGGGCCCCCCAGAGGAAGAGGCTGACAAGGCATCTGCCAGGGGCGTTTGGGGGGCAGCTTTTTTGCCACCCCCCTGAAAGTGTCGCCCAAGGCAAATGCCTTGTCAGCCTTATGGTAAATACACCGCTGAGAACACACAGTATTGAGACCCAAGATACCACAGCATGGCACTGCACACTAGCTAAATAGGAGTATTTATATGATTTGGGTGTGACACCAACAGTGTCATTACCATGCCACCAAAATGCATGACACTGCGTTATAAAAGAAGGCGGGGACGCAATGTTCGTAAATCTGTGTGACCCATTTTTAAATAATTTTGGCACATCCCTATTAAGGATTGGACCTAGTGAGAAACTGAAGGACAATTGATAAAATTTCACTATATATATATATATATTTTTTTTGCTGTGCATATAGATATAACATCGCGCATGTGGTACCCCAACGGCAAAACACATGCTTTTTGAAAACAGTTATAACAGTGGGGCATGTGTTAGAACTTGCACAATTTTATATTTAAGATGAGGTTTAGTAAGATTATTCATGTTTTAAGCAGACTATTTGTAGGTAGTTAGTACAAAACAATATAAACACTACTATAGATAGTAACCGTAGTGAAATATATACAAATACTTAACTTAAATATTATAGTGCAGCCTCCCAAGATCGTTACCCAAAAAAGACGACCTTTTCATATATAGATAACCACAAACAACACAAAACTTCGGGATACGGCTGAAAGTGAATAGGATTGTTTAGAATATATCGCTTAAACGGTGACTCCCCCGATTGAGATGGGGGGCTAGTAATCCCCTGGCTCCTTTTGAAAGTCCTTAATAATGCTCAGGAATCCAGACGGGCAATGGTAGGAAAAAAGGATTTTATTGATAAAAGGTGAATAGTCACCATCAATATAAAATATAATTAAAAGGAAAAACGGTATGGTCCTTTTATCAATAAAATCCCTTTTTCCTATCATTGCCCGTCTGGAGTCCTGAGCATTAATAAGGACTTTCAAAAGGAGCCAGGGGATTACTAGCCCCCCATCTCAATCGGGGGAGGCACCCTATGAGCGATATATTCTACACAATCCTATTCACTTTCAGCCGTATCCCGAAGTTTTGTGTTGTTTGTGGTTATCTATTTGTAGGTAGTATCTGTTAATCATTGCTTGTTAAGAACAATAAGTGGATTATACAAAAGTAGTGTTAGTCTCCCAGTTTATAACTTACTGGCAGGCAATATACACTGCTTGCATTTAGCTGAGTATGTGCTTCCAGTGTGAGAGGCAAAACTTCACCCTCCAGACCCCTATATTACACATGTACAAGGTTAGTAAGGCTGATCTAGTGTGACAGAAAATTTCAGTTGTACCCTATATATTATTTAGATTGATATCAGTATAGCACGTTATCATAGTGTCCTCGTGCGACTCTGGCTAGCCTATGCCCTCTATGGGCTTAGTGTGTTCCCGCTGCAGTTCGGGGTCGTTTGGTAGGTGCTGTGTGGCAGTCCAGGAGTGGAGTGCGGCATCTGGCATGACAGAACTGGATCTCGGTGTGTCTGGAGAGTGGAGTGTCGTGGGATAGGATCCTGTGATCTTTGCTGTTCTGCATGTGCTGGCCTGCTGTGCCTCCCTCTCCGCTCCCTGCTTCGAGCCTGTCTCTGTGCAGGGGCCAAGGTCCTGTGGCGAGTCTCAGGAGGTGAGTAGCTTGTTAGGGTGCGAGAGTGCCTGTGTATAGCCGACTGTTGTATGTGTCGGAGCCGCTGGTGCTTGTGGTCTGCTCTGGTTACTGTGGATGCAGGGAGGCAGCCTTTGGTCTCTCTGATCTCGGGCCTGTCGCACATGGCCTCCGCCATCTTAGTTGCAGCGCCTGGGTTGCGGGTCGGGATGACAATGCCGTTTTGCCTTAGTTGTGTTGCGGTGGTCAGGGCCCCAGGGTGAGGACCAGGATCACCCCCACCAGTCCTGGGGGCGGGGAGAACAGGGCCAGTTCCTCGTGGGTCTGGGCCCCTGGCTGAGCACTGTTAGGCAGGATAGCGGGCAGCGGCTGTCTGCTCCACTCACCGCCGGAGTAGGCCTCGACTGTAACAGTGAAGATTTCTCCTCCAAGGGACTAATACTAGTAGAGCCAGCCTCACCCTGGATCCAGTGCTCTCTGCATGACGAGGGCCGCTGTTGCCGGTCAGTATTTGAGTCAAAAATCATTGTTTTATGGCTTAGAGGTTTCTAGATTGCAGGAGCTGGTCTCACTTGCGACCGTCCAGCTTGGAGGTCCGGCCCCACCCCCCAATTTTTATTTTTTAAAGGCTTGTTACAAATAATGAGAGAGTTTTTTTCCCATGATGTGCATTTCATTTGCTTGACAACATGGCACTTTTTTAACCTGCCATATTGGGTCACATTCTGTTATCTGCTCAGCTCCTGTTCACCCTAATCTGTCTGTGTTTCTAGGTTCTTGCGGAGCAATTGCGGCAACAGGTAAGTTGGGTTGAGCAGCAGTTGGTCAAATAACAGTAGAATCTGATCCAACATGGCTGCTTAGCCAAATAAAGTGACATTTTCCTCAAAAAATAAAAATAAATACAATTACAGTTGTCCTTTAATGTATGCAGTCACTAGTGTTATAATGCATAGGAAAACAGCAGTGACATTAAATAACCCAGTAAGGAGCTCTTCTGAAGGTTTTATCTGGAAAAGAATGAGGTTCTGCCACTACATCATTAATACTGAATTATTGTTTGGCAATACATATTGATAGCAGCACACGAAAAGGGTTGCCCTGTAGTACGTAAAATTTATTATTATTATTGCCATTTATATAGCGCCAACAGATTCCGTAGCGCTTTACAATATTTAGAAGAAGGTCTATAAGTAATTAGGCAATGAACAATCCTATAGAATATGCATTATACATACTGCAGAGCAACCCTTTCCATGTATTTTCATAAATATGACAAAATTATACATGTGCCTTAAAACATGGTGCTTCTGGTCAGGGCCGCCATCAGGGCATGACAACCGCAACGGTTGTCATGGGCCCGGCGGTCCTGGGGGGCCCGGACTGGTCAGGTCGTCCGGGCCCCACATTCAGTGGGTACATACCGGGTCGCAGGGGGTCCTGCGACCCCGGTATGTACCCACTGGGCCAGCCTCTTCTCCTGGGGGGCCCAGCAGCCGGTCACCTCAGGGCCCCCCAGAGGCTGGCCCTGCTGTCACCCGGCGGGCGGGCCGGCGCGCGAGGGAGCACTCTCCTCTGTGTGCTTCTTCTTCAGCTCCCTCGCGCACCGTACTGATGCTGGAGCCGGAAGATGACGTCATCTTCCGGCTCCGGCATCAGTACGTGGCGCACGAGGGATCTGAAGAGGAAGCACACAGAGGAGAGGTGACACCAGGTGTCAGGGGGAGGAAATAAATTTAAGGGAGGGAGGGGGAGGGATGAAGGAAATTTATGGAGGGGGGGAGGAAAAGAAACTGGAAGGAGGAGGGGGAGGAAAGAAATTTAAGGAAGGGAGGGGGGGAAATTTGAGGGAGGGCGAGGAAAGAAATTTAAGGTAGGGGAGGAAGGAAATTTGAGGGGGGGAGGAAGAAAATTTAAGGGGGGGGAGGAAGGAAATTTTGAGGGAGGGGGAGAGGAAGGGAAATTTGAGGGAGGGGTGGAGAGGAAGGAAATTTAAGGGAGGGGGAGAGGAAGGAAATTTGAGGGAGGGGAGGAGGAAGGAAATTTAAGGGGGGAAGGAATTTGAGAGAGGGGGGGAGAGGAAGGAAATTTGAGGGAGAGGGGAGAGGAAGAAATTTGAGAGGGGGAGGGGGAAGAGGAAGGAAATTTGAGGGGATACGTCCGTCCTACTACCCACCATCCCACTTGAGGTGTGGGAGGAAGGAAATTTGGGGGAAATGAAATTTGGGAGGGGGAAGGAAATTTGAGGGGGGAGGAGGAAGGAAATTGAGGGGGGGCAGGAAGAAGGAAATTGAGGGGGGGAGAAGAAGGAAGGAGGGGGGAAGAAGGAACAGAGGGGAGAAGGAAATTGAGGGGAGAAGAGGGAGGGGGGAGAAGAAGGAAGTTGGAGAGGGGGAGAAGAAGGAAATTGGAGGGTGGTGGAGAAGAAGGAAATTGGAGGGGGGAAGAAGAAGGAAATTGGAGGGGAGAGAAGAAGGAAATTGGAGAGGGAGGGGGAGAAGAAGGAAATTGGAGAGGGGGGAGAAGAAGGAAATTGGAGAGGGGGGGAGAATAAGGAAATTGGAGGGATGGAGGGGGAGAAGAAGGAAATTGGAGGGGGGAGAAGGAAATTGACGGGGTAAGGGGGAGAAGGAAATTGACGGGGGAAGGGGGAGAAGGAAATTGACGGGGGGGAGGGGGAGAGATTGACATCCATCACACACACACAATGCACCCCTTGCAAACAGAAAAACACAAAATGCATTACACACAGACACACATACACAAGCAATGCATCCCTTACACACAGCAACACACAATGCACCCCTTACACACACTCAATGCATCCCTTACAGACGCACACACTGCATCCCATACATACACAAACTCACCTTGCAGCCCTTACACATACAAACACAGATTCACACAATGCATTCCTTACACACATCAGGACATCCCCCCCACACACACTCCACCCCCTGTGAACAAACTCATTGGTGGAACATGAAGGTGGACCCTGGGACCCAGACTTTGAGCTGTGTAAAGGGCCCTCAAAAAATGGAGCTGCTTCCCGTTGATCCCAGAACATTGATTTTTATGACCACAGTTACAAAACGCCTCCAGAGAGCCTGTTCTACACCAGACCAGTGGAGCCAGACTGCAGCTAGAGCCCATCATCATCCTCATCTGGTTGTAAGTAGGCAATCTAGTATATTATTTGTGGCACTAATCTCTAATTTACCTCACATTAAAGGGACACTATAGTCCCCAGAACCACTACAGCTTAATGTAGTGGTTCTGGTGTCTAGCCTGTCACTGCAGGCCTTTTAATGTAAACACGGCGGCACTGCAGCACTGGTGTTAGTTAACATGGCAGGTCATATGGGTGGGGCATTGTGATGTCACATGGGGGGGCGGCAAACTTTACTTTTGCCTAGGGCGGCAAAAATCCTTGCACCGGCCCTGCAGACACCCTGCATTCCTGTGGGCGGACTCGGGGGGGGGGTGGGCAGCACTTTGGGCAGACTCGGGTGCAGGCACCGGGGGGCCCAGACCTTGAGCTGTGTCAGGGGCCCCAAAATTTCTGATGGCAGCCCTGTTTCTGGTAACCCTAAGTCTGTGCTGCCTGCACCGACAGATTCCTTGAGCAGGCTTCCAGTTTTACATGTTGATTATTCTCTGTTGCCAGGCTCCAGCAATAAAAGCAATTGGAAGAAACACCAGTTGTGTAAAGTGACATCAACAGGGGCTGTGTAAGGGGACAGGACTGTAGTGGGGGGTATGAGCTGTAATTGGGGGGTTAGGAAATGTAGTGGGGGGATAGGGGGCTGAAGTAGGTTGATGGCTACAATTTGGGAAAGGGGCTCTGGTGTGGCTGATATGGGTAGCAATTGGGGGAGAGGAGCTGTAGTGGGGGCATGGGTCTGAGGAAGAGGGACAGGGGCTGAGCAAGGGGATAGGGCTGAGGAAGGGGACAGGAACTGATGAAGGGGATAGGGGCTGGGGCTGGAGGCTGAGGAATGGGATGGACAGGCTGAGGAAGGGGATAGGGGCTGAAGAAGGGGATAAAAAAAAAAACAGAAAAAAACTAAAGTGTATTCCCCCCCTCCCTGAGTCTTACATTAGGCCAGGGAGTGGTGGGCAGGAGCAGGAGCAGGAGCAGCAGCCACCAGAATCCAGCACTCAGCAGTCAGTGGAGTCGGAAAGCCTCTCCTGATGATGTCAGGAGGAGGGGGCTGACTTCCTCTGCTCTTCTGCCACACTCCCCAGCGGTCCTGGGAGAAGAGCAGTGAAAGTCACGCCCCCTCATCCTGACATCATC